ACAGGTCCGATCCCTGGTTGGGGAACTAAGATCTCGCATGCCTCGTGGTATGGCAAAAAATAAAATGAAGTGAAAAGTAAAATTCATAGAAAAGTAACAGGATTAGGAGTAGTACACAGAACAACCAAATTCCATTTTTCCATATTCATCTTCTAACATGAAGTCCAGTTTAACAGTTTTTTTCTGTATGGTTAGTACTTTTTGTATAAGGTTTAAAAAGTCTTTGCGTGCCCCCACAGAAACATTTTCAGGCTTCCAAAGTATCCTCTGGTGATTGGCCAGGCCAAATGAAGTCATGTGCCCTGGACAGCTCACGGCTTCTGCCAGGGCGCAGTTATAACGTAGGTGGGTCAAGGTTGATGTTGGTGTACGTTTGGACTCATGGGATTCCAGTGCGTCCACTTGACTTCCGGCAGCACCATCAGTGGTTTGACCACTTGCAAGGAGCGGGACATTCTGGCCACCCACTAACTGTTTAGCCCAGAGAATGGAGATGCCATGTCACCCAGAAAATGCAATGAGTGGTTTGGAGAAGGGGAAAGGAGCCAGGGGACCAGGCCCCTGAATGTGAGGTCTGTGCATCCACTGCAGCTATGTCCAGAGCAGGGTCCTGGGAACCCCGTGAGCTCCCAGGAGACTCGTCTGGGCTCCAGAGGCATAGGCCGTCCTTGCCTCTCTCCCAGGCTGCCCCCGGGTCTCTGAGGTTGGGCAGAGCCCTGGCCAGGATTCTGGAAATCTGGGCTCCAGTCTCCCTCCTTGACCTGAGCAAGTCACTCACCTGTCTGGGCCAGTCATAAGAGGAGGAATTGGCATGGAGCAGCTGGAAGAGCCAGGGTTCTGGAGTCAGGCTGACGTGGGCTCAAATCTCGCCATCTGGTGGCCTTGGGAGAGTTACTTAATCCTTCTGCGCCCAATTCCCTTATTGGTAAAGTAGAAATAATAATAATGCAAGCGTTCAGTAACCATCAGCGTTGCTGTTTGTTGAGCACCTGCCCTGGGCTGGGTGGTCGGGGCACAGAGACAAGTACCACTCAGTCTAGGGGAGAAGCAAGGCCCAGAAACGAATCTTCCTAAAACATGACAGAAGGAGGTCTGCACAAACCCTGTGCAGAAGGTGCGTGTGTCCGCATTTAGCAGAGGGGGAGATTGAGGTCCATGGTGATGGAGTGACTTGCCCCAGGTCACATGGAGGCAACCGTCTAGATAGACAAGGACTCGTCCTCGTTCTCTAGAGCCCTCGAAGGTTGGGACAGGAACTCCACACAGAGCGGGGGAGGCGCGTATGTGAGAGGGTAGACCGAGTCAGGAAGGCCTCCGGTGCCCCAGGGGGTTGGGCTGGACCCTGCAGGCATGGGGGCCAGTCACTTCGTACTCCTTACCGACTCTGGTCCGTGCACTCTCTCCCACGATGGCACCATTGGGTCCTGGCCTCTCCCCTGTTCTGGACGACTGGAACGGCCTTCTCACTGGTCTCCCACTCCAGCCATCTCCAGTTTGTTCTTCCAACAAAGGGAACTTTTAAAGACAGACAACCTGGTCACTTTGCTCCCCTGCTTAGCACCTTCAGTGATTCCCCACCACCCCAGGATGAAACCCAAGTCCCTTAAGCCTGCTGCAGGGCCCTGTGGGGTGGGTCCTGTCTGACCCTCCAGCTTCATCATGCTCCAATCCTGCATGCAGCATGCGTGCGCACACCCACGGCACGCAAACCACACCCAACTCGGTCCCTCCTCCACCTCAGGGCCTTTGCATGTGCTGTCCCCACACCTGGAACACTCCCCCTCTTGTCTCAGCGTGGGCGTTGCCTCCCTGGTGCTAAGCCGGGTCTCCTTCCCGTGGTCTGCACAGCACCTGTGTTTTTCCCGTCACAGCAGTTACACCCCTGTGTTGACGTCATCGTTTTGCTCCCTGCTTTTCCCCTAGATTGCAAATGCTCTGACAGCAGAACAGCGTCTCTCCTGTTCCCACTGTCCCCTCAGGGCTTGGGGCAGAGCAGGCGCTCAGGATATTTGTTGAGTGATAAGGAGATGAGGACCACGGATCTTTTACCCCCTTCCTCCCTCTGTGGTGGCTGCCAGGCCCCCAGGTACGGTGATGGCAGAAACCGTTCAGGGAGCAATGGATGGGGCGGCGGGCCCTCGCGCTTCCAGCCGATGCGAGTTTGCAGAACGGATGTCTGTACGGTTCCGATTGTGCTCCAGTTCAAGGAGTGAGTCATGCTGTTGGTGGCCGTCCTGCCCACTGGGACTGAGTCAACTGAGTGAGAATTAATTACAGATGAGAGAAGCCAGCTTGCAAAGCCATTAATATTTAAGCTCCCTGAAGTGTGATGCAAATGCAGCCATCAGCCTTGTCTTTGCTTGTCCTTCGTGTTCCCACTCCCTCTCCCTCTCCACCCACTTCCGTGTACTGTGGTCTGCGTATCAGGGTGACCCTATTCGGGTCTTGGCTCCCCCGTGACTCACTCTCCTTTTCTGGTAAATAAGGGCGCTGCAGTGCATCCATCAGCAAGTATTATAAAACACCTCTGTGTCGCATGCTTTGCTGGACTTCAGAAGCATGGGAGGAAACCAGCAGATGTGGCCCTGCTCTGAAGATGTCGTATCTAAAATTGAACCATTGCTGCCACAGGAATAGCGCTTTAGAGTTTACAAAGCAGTTTCAAACATCAGGATGAGCCTCTCAGGAGCCTCACTTTGTAGATACCTGGTGGTACTGTTATCCCCATTTTCCAGGTGAGGAAACTGAGGCTCGGATAGGTTGACATCTTGCCCGTGATCACTTCTGGGGTAGCTGGGCTGGAACCTGGCACTGAGCCGATAAGGGGGTGCGTTAAAGTCCTCTGTCCACCAGCTGCCAGGCAGGAGGGGTTATCAGCCTCATCAAGCACGTTTTCTCTCTTTCTGTGGGATGCCACGGCTGAGAAGACCCTGCAGGGCTGGAGACTGGGTCCTAGTGAACACAGAGACGCCGAAGGGAGGAGTGGGTGGGCCCTCCCGTGGGCCCTCCCATGCCAGGTCAAGGTCAACAGAGAAACCTCCCCTCCAGGTTCAGGATGACCCCAGGTGTCCCAGAGCCAGCTGTGGGCAGAAATAAGAATTCAGTAGCACCACCTGCTGGCTGCCGTTCCCACCTAGCTGCCCTCTCTCATTGTCATTCATACTTTCTCCATCCTCCTAAACTTGCTTTCAGAAAAGGTCCTGGTAGCTCAGGTACAATGCGATTCGGTTTCTAATTATGGCTCAAGCGTGTGGCCTCCACTTAAGGACACACATTCTCGCCACCCAGTTTCCGACCTGAGTGTTGGGGCTGGTGAGGGCCGGCCTCAGGCAGGACCAACTCATCCCCCCTCCTTGGGAGTGCGAGCCAGGGTGGCCACCCTCCCCGTGTCCCCCCTGCCGTTCCCGGACGCAGGACGGGGTGAGGTGTTGAGGAAGTGGGGACCTTTGCAACCTCCACATCTGGAGCACAGTGGCCTCTTTACAGATGTTCCGGGGCAGCCAGAGAGTCTCCCCGGGTCTCTGCCCCTCCTGTTCTCTGTCTCGCTGTCTCCATCAGCACCCCCCCCCTCCGCTCTCTTGGCTCTCTTGGTTCCCTCTCGTCCTTTGCCTCCGTCTGCCCCATACACCTCCCTGCCTCTCAGGCACTTTGCCTTTTCAGATCTCTATGTAAAGAAACTTTTCTAACAGTAAAAACCGTTCAGCAACGGGATTAACTGTCTTGCCCGTAATGAGTTCCCCATCAGGGAGGCAGTTGAACGAGGCAGGGTGGTCGTCCTTCCTGAATGTTGACAAGGTAACTTCACCTTCTGGATTTGGGCCGGACCATGGCTGCTGATGCTGAGATTCACCTGATGTGCATTGCTTCAGGATTCAAGGTGGTTTCAGGATAGTCCATGTATTTAAAACCGTAGTGCTGGGCCTCATGTAAGGGCATGTGTATTTGAAGATCAGACATTTTCGTTGTGAGAAAGAAGTAGTACATTCTTTATAATCTTAATTTTTATTAAATTTACTTTAATTTTTAAAAAATATTTATTTGGTTGCACTGGGTCTTAGTTGTGGCAGGCAGGCTCCTTAACTGCAGCTCTTGGGCTCCTTAGCCGTGGCTCACCAGCTCCTTGGTTGTAACATGTGACGTCCTGAGTTGTGGCAGGCGGGCTTAGTTGCAGCTCACAGCCTCCTTAGTTGCAGCACGTGGGCTCCTTAGTTGTGGCATGCAAAGTCTTAATTGCGGCATGCGTGTGGGATCTAGTTCCCTGACCAGGGATCGGACCCAGGCCCCCCGCACTGGGAACGCAGAGTCTTATCCACTGCGCCATCAGGGAACTCCCTAAATTTACTTTAAAGTACGTAATCATGATACAGAAATTTTAGAAAACAGAGGCAAGAAGGGAAAAGAATCATTCCTAATTCCACACCCCTGACACTGTAACTGTTTACATTTCATTCCCTTTCAGCTTTTTCCTTTATTCATTTTTTACACAGCTGTGTTAGGGTAGGAAGGCAGCTTTGTACCCCTTCCTGATTTCTTAGCACTACGCGTGAATGTTTTTACACAGTCATCATCTTCACCGTTTTTACACCAGGGAGCAGATGCCTGTAGTTTCTTTAGACTTTGTTTTGAAAGAACAGCCCATGAACCTCTTCAGAGATGGATCATTGTAAAGCAAGAGCTGTATATTTCTTCAGAGAAGGAATTACCCAACTTCTTACCCATCTTGTAAAAGAAGAGTGTGCACCCAAGTTCCCACAAGGAAGGGGAGGAATGAGCATGCTTTAAACCTGCTCCATACTGGGAGCTGTGGGGGGCTCTTTGGGCATCAGTTACCTGTGATCACCAGGTGCGTGTTGTCACCCCCATTTCACAGGGTCTGAGACACTGGTGTGAGGTCCCGTGCCGTCAGTATGTACCCAGGGCTCCAAAGCCGCGGAGGAGCCGCCTGGGGGACTGTGCTCAGTCCAGTCGACTCATGCGTAACAGGCCTCTCGGGGTTTCAGGATTTCCATGGAGCTGTCATGGGGGCCTTGGATGAGATGGACCAAGAGGGCAAGGACACATTGGCCGGGGAGGAGCTGCGACGCGGCCTGAGTGAGCTCCCACCCATCCGCGACCTTCACCAGGGGCTCCTGGAGGAGCTGGAGGAGAGGCTGTCACACTGGTGAGTGGCCCCGGACCCCCGTCCCCACCTCGTTGCCGTGGGGAATGCAGGAGGCGGGGTAAAAACCCCACCATGTGAAATGGCGTCTCCCTTTGACTGGTGGGGAAGCTGAGACCCAGAGGGGTTAGGTCGTTCACCCAAAGTAAAACAGCCGTGGGAGGGTCGACCTGGGATCCCCACCGGGGATGCAGTGCCAGCCTTCACCGTCCAGCACCACATGGTCACAAGGCTGAGTTCTTGCTGTCCTGTCCGCCCCCTCCTTGGCTGCAGGGAGAGCCAGCAGAAGGTGGCTGATGTCTTCCTGGCCCGGGAGCAGGAGTTTGAGCACCATGCCGCTCACATCCAGCAGTTTGATAGGTACCTGAGTCTGCTGGGTGAGAACTGCCTCCACGCCCCCCGGCTAGCAGCTGCCGTCCGAGAATTTGAGGTGGGTCGTCGGTAGTCCAAGAACCCGCTCTAAGGATGCAGGGGTCGGGGTGGGCATGGAAGGGCTTAATGCAAATCAGTGGGGCTTCTTAGTGGGGCAGACAGGCAGACCTGGGGGTAGGAAGGAGAGGGTGACCCAGCAGGAGGGAAAACCCAGAACATCCCCTATTGGGCCATCGATGACAACTCCATGAGCACCAGCCATGGGGAGAGTTTTAGTAGCTGTTTCTCTGTCCAGGAGAGAAGCACAAAGCAAGCTGGGGCCCTGAGCCACTGGAGTGACCAACAAACGACCACCAACTGGGGATCCAGTTACTGGGCAGCAAAGTCAGGGACTTTCTTCTGCCACTAACATTAGATGCAAAGCAGGGTCTGGGAGCGACGTGTAACTGAGAGTAGCACAGTCTGTGAGCCTGAAAGAATGAACTGTCAGAGTGGGGCGGTGCTGATCTGGGAGGACACCCTGGAGGAGGGGAACCCGGTTTTGGAGATGCTCAGCCTGGCCAGGAGAAGGCATGGAGGGAACATGTGTGGATGGGCTCATGTGGGATGCCGTAAGCCCGGAGAACTCAGGCAGGGGTCCCTGATGGAGTTTTGTTTTCCTGTCTCTTGGGAGCAGCAGAGTCAGCAAGGAGGCAGCCAGAACGTGAAGCACCGGCTGCTGAGGGTGGTTCAGCGCCTGTTCCAGTACCAAGTGCTCCTCACAGGTGGGCCCCACAGGAGGTCGAGGTGCGCCGAGCTGGTGAGGGGAGGGGAAGCCCCTGCAGAGGGGTGGGGGAGGCCTGGCAAGGTATGCGATGAGACCTCCCCTCCCACTGTAGCAGGAAGGGGTGGGAGGGAGGATGGCGTCACCCCCTGCGGAGGTGCCAGGCCCAGCCACCACCTTCCCTCCGGCTGAGCTTTGGACCCCCTGCTGCCACGTGGAAACTTGCCCCAGTGGCCACCTGCTACGTCTCCCTTAAGCCTCTCCCGTCCTAACACACAGGAACTCACACCTTCCCCTGGGCTGCATTTCCTCCCTGGCTCAGTGGGTCTCATTTCCCTAAAGCTGTCTTATCACCAAAGCCCTCTTGAATCAGTGGATTTTTCCCCCTTGGACCTGCTGGCCCTCTCTGTGGCTTTGCCACTGACCACTTCCTGCTTCTCGAAGCCCTTTCCTCCTGGGGCTTCTGTGGTATACTCTCTCCCTGCCTCCTTCTGACCCCTCTGACCGCTCCCTCTCCATCTCTGCTGGCCACTCTCCACGGCCCCGTAAATGTCAGTGATTCTTGGGGCTGTGCCCCAGGTCCTCGTTTCTTCCTTCTGTACAAACTTCCCCCAGGAATGTCATCCCCTCCCCTACCTCTGCCTGCCAGAAACACCCTTACCTGTGTCCTGAGCAACTGCCTTCTAAATGGACAGAGACCCCTGGCTCAGGAGCTGGTGCTCTGGTGGGGAAGATGGAACTACACACATAGATAGGCATGTAACTCCAGGGACCAAGGAGGCTGTAAGAAAAGACATTAGGGCCAGGAGATGGAGGATTTTTTCATCTAATTCAACCAGTATTTATTAATCACCTGCTGTGTACCAGGCTCTGTGCCAGATGCTGGAAAGGTAGAAGTGAGTTAAACAGTCAAACTCCGTGACGCTCTGGAGCTTATACTCGAACAAACGAATAAGGAAATAAAAGTATAATATGTCCGTGATAAGAGCTTCACAGAAAAATAAAGCAGATTAAGGACATTCAGGGGAACAGGGGTGCTGTATTAGATCCATCCATCAGGGAAGACCTGTCTGAGGAGGTCACATTGAACAGAGACATCAGTGAAGTGAGGACAAGAGCGATATGAAGATGTGGAAGAAGAGAGTACCAGGTGGAGGAAATAGTAAGTGCAAAGGCCCTGGGGTCTGAGCAAGCTTGGCATGTTCAAGAAGTAGCAAGAATGCCTGCATTTTGCCCCAGTAAACGAGAGGCATGGAGAGGTGGCTGGAGCAAGACCAGCCCGTGTCGAGCCTTACGGGTGTAAGTGTGTTAAGGGTCTGACACATCCCACTCTACCTTGTTGGTGGCCACATCTGTCTCTCCCAGCCGACTGTGTGCTTCTTTGACCTAGCACAGTGCCAGCCACACAGCAGGTGCTGAATAGATATTTGTGGAATGAGTGAATGAATGACTAGCGGTGGTGGGTGTGATGCTGGAGGTGATTCTGGGGGCCCAGTTTTGTGCCAGTGTGTTCTTGTGATGGGCTAACAGAAGAGAGGGTGGGCACCTCATTCTTCTGGAAGTCTCATTCCGTCTCTAGAGACAGAGGGGCTCCTGTTGTGGACACGAGGGGCTGGCCTCACCAGGGCAAACTGACTCCTGGCTCTTGTTCTGTCTGCAGACTATTTAAATAACCTTTGCCCGGACTCGGCTGAGTACGATAACACGCAGGGTAAGTCCAGTGTGAACCCAGAGGAAGGGGGTACATTCCTGTTTTGGTCCCTCTCCCCAACTCCGGACTCTACACCAGATCCCAGGCACACAACACAGCCCCCTCCCCCCAGCTGGGTGTGCAGGGGACGTGAGGCCTCCGGGGCTGCCAAGTGACTCCCCTTCCCCTCAACCATGGGGATTCCCTGGGATGGGCTGACGTCCAGTCAGAGGAGGAGGAGGCGACCAGGATTCAGTGATAGGAGGCAGTGCCGGGTCTAAAAATCTCAGTCAGACTCCCTGTTTCCTCCCAGTTCTGTGTGGCTGTCCCTGCACACGACCTGCCGGGCAGTCCCTATTCTAACATTTTCTAGTTACAGCCAAGGGAACTGAGGCATGGGGTGGTCACGTGACGGTCAAGGTCGCTTAGGCGGTAGTGGCCAGGCCGGGATTGGGCCAGTGACCTGACCCGGCCATGGGGAGAATTGGTGCCACCCATACACAAGGCCCTGCAGGGGTCCTGCGTGGGGAGCGGCGAGGAGGTGGCAGCTAGCCCGGCCCGCCCCAGGAGGCCCAGCGCTCGGCTCTGCTTCTTTCTGTAGGTTCTCTGACCCTCATCTCCAAGGTCACAGACCGCGCCAGTGACAGCATGGAGCAAGGGGTAAGTCCAGCCCTGGGCAGCTTCCATTGGCTGCAGGTTCCAGGAGCCCCTCCACCCTGCACAGGTCTGCCTTGTGATACCCCACTTCTTGGTGAGGGGCGCAGGCAACCATTTATCTCATGGGATCTTGCAACGAGCCATGGGTTCTGGCCCTGACATTTGCTGTGTGGCCTCAGGTACTGTGTGTCCCTCTCTGGGTCTCCAGTTCACCATTTATTTGAATAGTGAGGGCGGCTGCAGACTTGCACAAACCTGATAAGTAGTGCCCAGACTGTGTGGTCTGAGAACATTTGCGTTAGCACCTGGAGTGGTCTGTAAACTACAGTTTCCTAGGCACGCCTTAGGTCTTCCCAGTTGGAACTTCTGGGATAGGGTCCAGAGATAGGCATTTTTAACAAGCACCCCAAGTAAATGGCCCACAAAAGTTTGAGAGCCGTTCATCCACGAGAACATGTGAGCTCTAAGCGCACGCCTGGTTCTGACGGTGTGTAACTCTGCATTTGGGAGATACTGATCAGATGCTTACTGCGTTTCTGTCCAGGATGGCCAGTTTTATCCCACCTCCCAACTCTGTTCCAGTGGTTACCACAGTTACTTGTATCCACATATTTTCTGCTCCTCTAAGCAGTAAATATGCTAGAGCTGTGTGCTAAGAACGATTCTGAGGCCGAGTCCTAGACCACTGGGAAAGAG